GACCCTGCCAGCAGGGAAGCCAGGTGTAGGGTAAATACCTGTCCCGGGGGGTTGGAGGTGAATCGCCTTCTGTGTCGCCGGGGTGGTCACAAGGCCACCGGAGCAGCATTTCTTTGCTTGGCTCCGCGTGAGTACACGGTGTGAAAAGCAAAGCTCTGCCTGCTGCTTTCTGGGCTGTTACTTACTACTTGTCCTAAGCTGGCATGAACCTGCACGTCCAGCGTGAGAGCTCCCCCTCGGCTGAGCTGCCAGAACGGTCTGTATTGCTACATGATGAATGGCATCAGAGGCTGTTCCCGGTTAAAAATACCCTTCTTCCAGCAAAACTGAGCTTGAGGCAGCGCCTGGATCTGTTGTGCTGCGCGCTCACCAACCGTGCCGGGGGGGAAAACCCATTTCTTCTGGCAGCAGCGCAGGTGTATGCTGGCCTAAAGCCTCCGTGAACCTGCAGCGTCGCCACCTGCCATCTCCTCCCTGCCCTCTCTGCCCCCTCTGCCCCAGCAGTTTCTGCAGAAATGTGATTTCCCGAAACCTCCCGATTTCACCTCGGCGCAATCTGAATTTGTGGAGCCACATTCACGATGCAGGGAGTGTGAACCGATCAGAGCCTGCCGCGGGCCGGGGCGACAGGCTGGGACAGAGCTGCCACGTGGGGCTTCTCCAGCCTCACCGGCGGGCCAGGGGCAGCTCTCAGCTCCCTGCTGGTCGTGGGACATGGGATGGGGACAGTAACGAGAGGGAACTGGAGCATTATCTAACGGTTACGGCAGCTGCAGGAGTCATTCTGCTGGGCGTCTGCTCAGCGCGGCTCAGCCTGCCAAGAGCCCGGATGGATTGCTGGCTCCCGAGACGGTACGGCAAGGTCGCTCCAACGCCCAGTGCCACGTGAACGGAGTGGCCTCTATGTGACCATCCAGGATCTAGCGCTTTCCGCAGGAGCAGGCACAAGTGGCGTTCCTCTTCCTTACGTGTACGCACGTTCCATTGTCGGCTGAAGCGTTCCTGCGCTGTGTGGGCACAGTGCAGCCCGTGCGGGTGGTCTTACTCTGCTTTAAGATGGCTCCAACCAACGACTGCTCCGCATTCCGTGCTCCCGGAATGTTGGTGAGGCAGCTGTACTGCTGCACCCTAATAAGCCGTAAGGTAAGGAGCACGGCGAGGGCCCCGGCTGGCCTCAGCTGAGCTGCTGGAACTTGGTGCACCTGCGTAGGAGGAAAAATCCCGCACCTTCCTGTGGTACGGCGTGCGCCCAGCTCACATAATGTAAGGACTTCAGACCGATCCCTTTCCCCAGATGCCGACTCTTTCTGCTGGCACCGTGCCCAGACAGGAAAAGGAGTTTTCTCCGTTTCCTTTGAAGAGGCCAAGCTGTTGGAGTCACCTGCGACTGTGTGTAGGTGAGGTTTAGTTACTGCAGGTGAGGAATTGGCACCTGACGGAAAGCGCATCCCTTCTAACCACAGAGCACAGCACAGGCCTGGTGTTAGTTGATTCCAGATGCTCTTGTTCCCGCTGTACTGCTCTGTGCTGTCCCCGCAGCCAATTCCGATCTCACCTAATTCGCCCCGTTGCCGTTGTTGCATGCTGACAGCCAGGCAGGTGCTGCAGGCCGTGTCATTAGCTGTCTGCACCGTGTCTGTGTGTAACGGGGGTCGGAGGAGGTGACTTTTCTCCATGGTAACAAAAAGCATAACCTCCTCTTAGTGTTGCGAGAGCAGATGCACCCTTCCCTCACCTTCCCAGACCAGTCAGTGTCTGCAGCCACGCATGGACCGATCCGTGCAGGTGTGTGTCACTCGCCACGGAGTCACTACGGTTGGAAAAGCCCTGTAAGGTCATCCAGTCCAACCATCAACCCAACACTCCCACACCCACTAGACCATGGCCTCAAGCACCACGTCTACATGTTCCTTGAACACCTCCAGGGATGGTGACTCCACCACGTCCCTGGGCAGCCTCTTCCAGTGCCTGATCACTCTCTCAGTGAAGAGGTTTTTCCTAATATCTAATCTAAACCTCCCATGGTGCAACTTGAGGCCATTTCCTCTTTCCCGGCACAACTTGAGGCTGTTTCCTCTTGTCCTCTCCCTTGTCACTTGGGAGAAGAGACAAACCCACCCTCTCTGCACCCTCCTTCCAGGGAGTTGTAGGGAGCAATCAGGTCTCCCCTGAGCTTCCTCTTCTCCAGGCTGAACTCCCCCAGCTCCCTCAGCCGCTCCTCATCAGCCGTGTTCTCTCGTGCCACGTGTCTCCTCGTACACGCTCTCCATCCTCACCGTGTGGATGTGGCTGCAGGCAGTGGATGGCAAGGAACGTGCTCTTTCAGCATCTCATTGGAGATGTTTTTAAATCACGCCCCCCCACCCCACCCCAGGCTCTTTGGACCTGAAAGCCAGTGTCAGCTCTGAAAATGTCTCAGGCAGCCTCAGTACCGCACTGAAAACGTGACGGTTCCACCTGCCGTGTTACTGTGGCTTTCTGGGCAACACCAAGACAGCCGTAGCAGCATTCCTCAGCCTGATGGTTCCACGGTTCGGTGTTCAGATTTTTTAACCATGTCAGTATTTGCCAGTATGTGCCAGTATTTTGTTAAGAATTTCATTAAGGTAATTAAAAGACACTAACTCCTGTCTGGATATAACGAGCGGGATTAACGTAACAAAACACCTTGCCCCTCTGTTTCTGCAGATTACGCTACACAGCTTGTTCAAGTAGTTTTTACCCACAGCTATAATCATGGTAGCGGGAAATAAATGTTGGATTTTGCTTTCTGCTTTGCTTACACAGTACAGTGAGGGTTCCACCTCTGCAGCCTTAGAAGTAACGCTGCTTACTGGACAAATATGAAATAGTTTCTTCTGCATCTATGGCCCTTCAGCTTTGAGTGTCGCGAGTGAAAGATTAAATAATTGCACTGAAACAAAGCAGTATTCCCCTTCTCTTTAATAGATCCTTGGAATATACTAACAATGCTGGTGTTTGCATGAGCGTCTGGGAAAGAGCTGTGAGAATCGCGTTTCCCAGACTGGGTGGAAAAAGAAAAGAATTTGTTAAATATATTTAAAGATGGCTTCATCACTTGTACTCTTCGCAGGACTCTAAGCCCCGCGTTTAATTACGTTGTCTGGAACCACTAAAGGAATTTGGGCTGTGAGATGGTGGAGTATTTAAGAACAACATTCATCCCCTTTTATTTCAAGTTTGGTTAAAGACCTTAAGGAACGAGCAAGGCACCGCAATGACACACACGCTGAATACTTTGATTTGGCTATAGCGTATTTTAATTCCTGACAGTGTTTCTGGTCGTGCCATGCTGCTGTAAGCACAGGCCTTGGCTAGCCGACTGCCGTGCCCGTACGGCGTCAGTTGGCTGGACGGAGCTCGCTCCTCGGCGTACACGTAGCAGCAGTGTGAACAGTACTAATTCCTTCTCTGTTAAGAAAACCCCAACAACAGACCCAGTAACTTGGTGGCCAAACTTGCCCATGTCTTCACCAAAGGCCCACCTAAAGCAGGGTGTGCTGCTGCGGAAGGGGCAGGTACTGCTCTGCGCTGGGTCCTTCCTCTCCGAATGCTCATGTGGCGTCTTTGCAACCATTAAACGTGTTGGAAATTCTGCTGAAATCGATTGCTCATCCTTCTTTCTTTCCCATTTTCAGCCATCCCTTCCCAGTGAAGTTACTCACCCTTTGTAAAGAAGAGATCAAAAGATCCAAAGACATCCGGAAGCTTCGCTCCAGCACAGGAGTGTGAGTCGATGAAATAATCTTTTCTGTGCTCCTGCAGAGTGAAGAAAATCTGGTGGCAGTGCCTTCCAGGTGTGACAGCCAGGTCTGTGTCATCTGAAATTTAAAAGACAGATGCACAGGTTCATGTCACACCAGGCTGAGAGAGTTTCACGTACTGCTGGGTGCTTGGGGTGAAAACACATGAAGGAGGTGATAAAATTTAGCTGATTTTAAAGTGCTGATGCTCTGAAAGATGCAGCGAGTCATCCGCTGTTTGCCTGTAGAGCGCTTGCCTCGGTGCCCATGCACAGCATGGATAACGGATTAGGCCTGGTACAAGCACTAGAAAGAGCTGAAAACATCTGCAACATTATTGTCTGGCTTTAGGGTAAAAGCCCTCGGTTTAGCTGGCAGAGAAAGTGAAACAAAATGCTTTTACCAGCCAGGAAAGAGGGTACGGTGTGAGGAGGGGAGGAAAACCACGGCAGAGCATCACAAAGCCCCGTGAAGGTTTGCTGCCAGAAACTTCCCCCAATTCCTCAGGTGTAACAATGTCAAGCAATGGTTTTATTGACGTTCATCTCCTTCCTTTCTTGTAATACTTGAAGAGTGCAAGGAAGCCCACACCGAGAGGCAGCCCCTGTTCCTATTTGCCCTGTGCTGCACTGTACCTGCTTGGCCGGCCCTGTGCTGCTGCCCCTCCGTGGGAGTGTGTCAGGCAGACAGAGGTGCTGCAGCGGCAGCTTTAGAGCCGTGTGTGCACTGGGCACAGACGTGTGGCCTCTCGGTGACCCGAGGGATTCCAGTGTGCTCGCCCTCAGACCTGGCTTCCCCACAGCACTTGGGACTGAGATGTCCTGGGGGCAGCGGAGCTTCCCTCCCGCCCTTTTCCTGACAGACCTCTTCAGTCACATCCTCAAAACCTCCCTCTGTACTTGCAACACCTGACCTTTTTTCCTTCCTTATGTGCTCTAGGTTTTGTGGCCTGATTCAGTTCCAAGGAGACATGAGAGAGAAAGTTTTATTTCAGTTGTTTCTCCTTCTTTGCCACCCATTTCCCACAGTAAGTACTGAAAACACTGAATATTATCAAATGTATTATTTAAAAGACTTGACAAGTAAAAAATAACTTAAAAGTGTATTATGGCAGCCTTATATTTTAGAATCATAGAATCTTTTAGGTTGGAAAAGACCTTAAAGATCATCAAGTCCAGCCATTAACCTAACACCGGCAAGTCCACCACTAAACCATGTCCTTTAAAGTTTCTTCATAAAGATATAATTACATATGCACCCAATTAAATAAATGGGGCTAAGACCTGCAAAAAACTCCGCAGGCTTTCTTTGTAAGCGGTGGAATCATAGAATCACAGGATGGTTTGGGTTGGAAGGGACCTTAAAGACCATCCAGTTCCAACCCCCCTGCCATGGGCAGGGACACCTTCCACTAGACCAGGTTGCTCCAAGCCTCATCCAGCCTGGCCTTGGACACTTCCAGGGATGGGGCATCCACAGCTTCTCTGGGCAACCTGTCCCAGTGCCTCAGCACCCTCTCCGGGAAGAATTTCTTCCTGATATCCAATCTAAACCTCCCCGCTTTCAATTTAAACCCGTTACCCCTTGTCCTGTCACTACAGGCCCTTGTAAAAAGTCCCCCCCAGCTTCAGTGTACGGCGTAGGTTTATTTCTCACGGGTCTGCTGTTGGCAGCGCTGCCCCCTGAGATGGGCTGCTGGCTCCTTGCTGCGTGCCGGGCTCTCGCACCCGCTGCTTCCCGCCCTCTGGCCCTATGGGTTCAAATGAGAAGCGATTAGGCCCCAGGCCGTTGGCTGGGTGTACGCGGCAGCCAGCACAGCGACGGGCTGTTCACGCTTGGTGCCTGACCGCTCCAGTCGGCCCAAGCGCTGTCAGTTTTGCCCAGTTTCCAAGAGCAGCGGCACAGCAGTCGCGCTGGTTCACGCAACGTGTCTTTGTGCTCGGTGTGGCGGAAGCGTGTGCCGTGCAGGGGGGTTTCCCAGCAGTTTACATTTTTCACCTAACTGAAACAGGGCACAGAGGTCTGAGCTGTGACGTGGAGTGTGTGTAAGAGAAGATCATCGCTGGGATAGTAGTATCTTGGTCCCGCAAAATTTTTGTTGTCTCAGTAGGGTTTGGGGTGTGTTTTCACTGTACAAAACCTGGGGCCCCGGTGACAGCCAACCCGTACAGCAGCTCTTGGTGGCCCTGGGGCTCCGTACAAGGGTTTCACCCGGGGCTGTTTGTGGATGTCCCTGGGAGTGAGGTCCTGCCCGTCAAGCTGCAGCGTTAGCCGCCTGGTGTAGGAGACACAAAGGATGGCGAGGTAGCTGCAAGGGCACGTAAAAAGAGCGTGAAAACCCACGAGGCCCCGCAGTGGTTGGGGAACGGTGAAGAGCCTGGTCCTGGCCAGTGCGACCAACCTTGTTTGTTCTCACACCGGTTACTTTTGCCCATTACTTTTCGCCAAGGCTGAAATCAGGGTACTCGAAGTCTGATACTTTGGATTTTCATTCCGACTGTTTCCGTGCGGTGTGTACAGGCTACATGAAGGACCCTTTGCAAGAAGGAAGGGCACAATGTAAGAACTGAAGAGAGACCATTCAATTTCATGTTTTATTGATATTTTACATTGTAAATTTTTTTTTTTTACAGATGGGCCAATTTAATTTGGCACTGCTGCTCCAGAAATAACCCTGTAATGTCTCTGCCTTCCTTTGGCTATCATCAGGCTTTCTTGAAAAAAAACAAAATTTGGTTTTGTTGCAATTTCACCAACTTCCGTTTAGTCTCTTTCTACACACTGTGCAGCAGAAAGCAGGTTAGCCAGCTCCTCCTGTCCGCCCCCCAGCATCGCTGCTGACACGGCCCTGGGAAAAACACTGCTGCTGGAAAGTGGCGTGTAAGAAGCTGACGCTGTGCACGCCATCACCTCTCTCCCAGTGTTTTTTTAAAGAGTTTTGCTGACTCTTCCTGTCTCCAGACTGGGAAATCTGTTTTGTGAGCCTACAGCTACCAAAGTCAGAGCCAGGCTTTGGCTCAGTGAGTCCTTTCAAGACAAGAAATACTCCACTTGGGCCAGTCTCAACCATTTGAATTCATTCCCTGTGAGGGACAGAGCTGTAGCCGCCTTTAATCTGAAATACTGCAGAAATACCCCAGTAGTAGTAGCGTGGATGTCCCTGAGGTGCAGAAAGGCAGCCCGTTCCTGCAGCAAATCGCTGCCGGAGGCAAGGGCAGACGGTAGTTCCGAGGATGAGCAAGTGCCCACCTCTCAGTAAGAGGAACCAGTAACGGCACGTCCGCACAGGGCCCTGGGTACTTCACTGAAACTCCCTCTGCCTCTTCCCTAGATACGGAAAACGACCGCCAGTCAAGTTTACGAAATGCTGATAACCTACAGCGACGTGGTCGACCCGGCCGTTATGGATGAGGTCCTGACCATACTCAGCGACACCAACTGGTGAGTGGGTCCGTTGCCAGGGGTAATAAGAGCCGAAACAAGCTTTTGTCCCACTGAAGTTAAAAGAAGTCTGTGCCTTTGAAGGCTGATGGCAAGAAAATGCTACTGCAGTTCTAGCTGGTTATTGCTTCTAGGCCAGGAAAGCATCGCTGACAAGAATTCTGCTCTGACCTGGCGAGCAGACTGTCCCCCTGGCAGTGGTGTGTATGAAATCCCCACTAGATAAAAGTGAAATGGCCATGTTTTTCTAACAACATAAAAAGGGAGGAGATCTTGGAAATCCTCCACGAAACAGAGAGAGACTGGGCTGTGCAAACAGTCAGAATTCAAGTGCACAGACAGTTTCTTGGCATTTGTGAGCCCTGGCAGGATTTTGGGAAAGGAAGGATCTCTGCAAGCTGGAAAACAACAGAATTAGCAGAACAGCTCAAATCTCCCATGAAATGTAATTACTCAGAATGCTACAAACATTGCATTCAAGCAAATATTTTGAGTTGGAACAGTCTGGACGTGTCCCACGCATATGATGGCATGAATTAAACCACCACTTCGTAGAACGGGATTCATTTCTTTTTACCTACTGTTACCTGTAACGTTGGCCTTTTCCCAGGGCAGCTCCGTGTGCGAGGCTCCCCGCTGCAGCGGAGGGGCAGGGGGATGCCCGTCAGCACCGCTGAGGTGCCGGGAGCGGGGAATACTCACCGTAATTTTGGCACTGCTTTTCTTCCCCTTTCTGCAAATTTTAGCACTGTGCATTCTAGTGGCCTGGGGAAGTTTCTAGAAGACCGCATACCTCAGGTAGCTGGGGAACTGCGGGCTTCCAAGGTGCTAATTAGCTACTGCTGTGCTCAGCGTTGGTCGCCTGGGTCGGGGTCTACTTGCCCAACACCCTGCCTCAGACTGTAGTCGGAGGTCCTGCGGGAGAGAAGGCGGATATAAAGCTGTGTGATCTGTCAGGCACTGGGTTAACTGGCTTTTTGCCTTCGCTGACATTTCATGGAGATGAAGTTAACCTAGACACACTCAAGGAACAAATACGCCTTAAGGTCGTGGTTTACATATTTTCAGGCTTTATTTAACTTTTTGTAACTTTCTAGTTTATTTCTGAGCTCGAATAACTGGCTGCTGCTGGTGTTCTGAATTTTCCAGTAAGAAATTAAAGTAACAGTCCCAGATTTGGAGAGATGCTTATCAGCAATTCCACCTGTTGATGAAATGACTCCTTAACCAGCTCTCAGTGTTTGGTGCGAGTCAGCGCGCGCTCGTGAGACCTCGGTTTAAGGGCAGGCTTGCTTGGGTATTACAGACAGAACCTGTTAGCGGACGTGGAGGGCAAGGGCTGGACGACCGCTGTCACAAAGGGGTGTTGTCGGTACCGACGTCAGAAGCGGCCCACGCCAACCCGCGCTACTCCTAAACGGGCTACTAAAACAGAGCAAAAAAATTCCTAAAATCCGCTTCAGAAAACAAAATACTCTCGTTTCACCTTGTCATTTTTAAGGTGTGGCTGGCCGCCTGTTCCATTCCGCCGTAGCTGAGGGCTTGCCCTAAGCTCCCCCGCTGCAGAACGTCCATCGCGCTGCGGTTAAGGGTGGAGAGGTGGTTTCCTTAAAGTGTAATTGGTTTATCTTGGTAGATTTGAACTGTTTAAGAAGGTACTTGAAGTCAGTGCCGAGCGTCAGAGCTGCTCGTTACTCTCCAGCTCTCTCCGTGCTAACCCAGGCGTGGCACGTGCTGAATTACAAGCAGCGTTAACATCGGGAACCCCAGTGAGAATGAGTGTTTGGGAAGGATGGTAATTACTGGCATGTGCATATTTGTTCCTTGTTGGAACTATGGAGAGTTTATCGTACAGTTGTATAAATTTCCAGATTAAATAGGTTTCTGGATTAAATACTGCAAACTGTCCAAGGCATTTAACAACCCAAAAGGAGTTCAGGTTGTTTCTAACCTGCCCTTTATGCCTTTTCTCAGTTTATGTGCCAAGAGTTAATTTTTAGTAGCCCATTTACAGTTGTTGCTTAAGAAAACCAAACCAGAGCTTGCGAGTTGGTGAGTAAGACTGGCAGTTCCACAGCATTCCAGTTAGTCGTCGATTTTTTTACAACAAGGAGGAGAATGTTCCCTGCGTGGATTTTTTGGGCATTTGGGGGCTCTTTTTGTAACTGCCACTTCTTGAGGAAATTACTCAGGGACGTCAGGGTATTTCAGAAACCTTTAAAAAGACTCACAAATGTTTGGTGTGGATTTTGGGTTTCTTCAGATAGTAGAATGTTCTCCAAATCCCGTGACTTTTATTTAAATTCTCAATGTGAAGTTTTTCTAAAGCAAAAAGGAGCTATAAATTTAGGGAATAAATTAGTAAACTTCTAGTCAAAAGGGTTGTAGGAATCAGTGTTATTATTCTTTAAGATTTCTGGATTCCACAGAAGGCTCAGACACTTCCCTAGCAGCTGTCACGCTGGAAGCCCCGAGTCGTACTTACGGCAGGTCTGGCCAAAGATGGCACAAAACCGTGGCATTATTCTCCAAAAACTTCCACAGTTTGAAACGGAGGTGGAAGTAGAGGTGCACATGCAGCATTCCCATCATGGAATGGGTCGCTTAAGAAGTTGTATCTGTGTAGCCAACTCCAGGTTTTCGGTTGTGAAATAACTGGAGAACACTTCCTCCTGCAGGGAGGCGGAGCTGCCGGCAGTGAGAGAGAAACGCAACTGTCTCTGTGATCTGATGAGGGTGCCCAGACCGCAGCTGGTGTCCAAGGTAAGGCATGGCGTGTGCTCCTGAGGGGGTTTCAAAGAAACCTGGTCATGGTCAGCGTGCCACCAGATCTGCTGCGTACCTCTGTGCCACAGACGCAGCTCTCGCTGCTGCGCGAGCATGCCAGGGAGCACGGCCTCGCAGCTTCCTGCAGAATATATGGAGCTGCTGGAGACTGTTGGCTTGAGCCCCTCCAGTCTCATTTCTTGAAAACGTTGGAGACTTGCAGTGTGACATCTCGCTCAGACAAAAGGCAAGAATGAAATAATGCAGTACAGATGTTTCACAAACCTGTCTGTCTGCCCTTTTGGGGGAAAGAAAAAGGGTAAAAACTTCCCACTCAATTTCAACAGTGCAATGGTAAGGTGGTCACCCAAGCCACGGACTTGTGAGGCTGCCAGAGAGGAAGAATTTAACCCAGAGGTTAATACCCTCGTGCGATGACAGGCACTACCTCTGTATGCAGGCCCCATGTCATTTTAATGCAGGTGGTTTGGAACTGCCCATCTGCCCAGAATTACAGAAATACAGCTTTTTCTGCTTGGGTCCTTTCCACTCTGTCCGGAGGCGAGAGGCTCGGTTGTTGCTGGTTTGGAGAACATGTGTTAACGTGACAACTGGCAAAGAAAAATTGTTTTTACTTTGAGTAATACACGATGAAAACGGGTGATGACCCGAGGCTGCTTTCCCAGTATCACCAGAATCCACAACATATAATCTACCCCGAAAACTGATTAAGCTTAAAACCAGTGGTATATCAGTTTATTCTTGGCCCTTGTAATTCTTACTGCTCTGCTTTCATAGCTGTAGAAAGGTTCATCCTTTGTAATTAATTAGAGTTCAGAAACACCACTTGTGCAGTGTTCTTTCCTAAGTTTTTCCTAATACGGTGGATCTTAATTCCTCCATTTTCTGAAGTACGGGAGCACTGTTAAGTTGACCTTCATGACCAGAATGATGCACAGCGTTACTCTGTTGTCCTGCGCAGCTCTGCTTCAGGACTGCGTCAGCCCTTTCCAGCGCCGCAGCAGCCGTGGCTGGAGGTCACCAGGGCTTTTCTCTGGCACAGTACCTCGAGGCGAGCGGATCTGTAACGCGCCTGTGCAACGGGCTCGTTGTGATCCTGCTAAGGCTGAGGTCAGCCAGTCCCTCCTGTGTAATGTTCTGACACTCCGTTACACTGAAGATGCTCCCTAGTGTAAGTTGCCATAACAACTCATATATATATATATATATACACATACATATACAAGATATAAACATATATATTCTTTGAAAAAAATGCTTTTTAAAATTGGTCAGAAGACTAATAACACCTGTGAGCAACCTTCAGAGACACCCGACTGGCCCCGTAGCAGTTTCTTTACCATCACATCTAGAGTTTTCTGCTTCTAGTACAGTTCTAGGAAACCCGCAACTACCATTTTTTGTCATTTTAGAATACAAGAACCTGAACCTCTCACCCCTACAAGGGATTGGGTCGGTGTGTGCTCTAGAGCCCAGCACTGCTGTTTGAAGTCGACTAACAGACACGTATTCAAACTAAAGATGGCAGCAGCTGAACTCCTTGATCCCCCATTCAACTCCTTCATCACTGGAGGATGAGAGGGGACGGGCAGGTTGGGAGAAAACGGTCTCCGGCATGCACACAGGCGTTCCAGCTGAACGCTTACAAACAGCACCATGTGCAAGCTGTGTGTTACATGCGGAATTTGGAGCTTTTTGCCTTTTCCTCCTCTTCCCATAAGCACATAGTAGGGATTTTAGCGAGAAGGGTTGAGCCTGCAGCTGCCCTGGGATCGCAGGAGGTCGCTCTCAAAGCGGTACTCACTGTGCAGGACTTCTCACAGCTGTCCAGATGCCCCTCCGCTCGCCCCGGAGCGCGCAACGCTGCCGCTCTTGGAGAGCTCACCTAGCCTGAGAAACAACTCGGGAAGCCAAGTACAACGTTATGAAAAGGTGAATGAGGTTCATTTCAGCTGAAATCAGTGTTTACCATTCCTTTAAAACCTGCACAAGCAGAATTTGCTAGAAGGTGGTTTAAAATGGAGGTGTTTAAAAGGACAAACTGTTACAGCTTTGTACGTCTGTGTTCTCTTCTCCATTCCCTTCCCTTCATGATGCGCTTGGGATGCTGTGAAACCGGCCCTCCCCGCGTGACCTCTTTGCTTTCCCTCCGGCAGAGCGCAGCGCACTGAAGTCGCAGGCGCTGGGTTGCGAACTGCAGCTCTTGGCGGGGTGCCCGTGGGACTGCAGGAGTTTGCGCCGCGGCGTCCCGACGGACAGGTCCTCGGCAGCGCTGCCAGCAAGCTGTTTAACCAAAGGAGAGACAGGGATTGTGTCAGAGCAGCGTGCCAGAGGACGGCAGCGACGGCTGGGGGTGTTTCGGTTGGTGCCTGTAGCCACGAGATGGCAGTTTCTCTTCATACTTCTGTCACCACTGACCTGGGCTTTTTGATGTCAATGATTTGTACCTGTACAACTCTGAACAGAGCCGTTCGGCCTGTGCTTGCTGTTCACACACCAACTATTAAACCTGACTCGCTGTGTTTGTCTCAAGAGAATTGGTTTTCAGAGGTAAGAAAGGCCACGCTTAGCGATCATTGTATCTCCCTGAACATGGAGTATCTCTGTCGATCAGTCTGTCATTCTTATGCCCGAGCTGACAAAAAAAATCCAGGCTTCACCTCTCTTAGTAGCTTTTTATAAACTAGTGCAAGCAAACATTCTTTGTGCTAACCCAGCGTTGGGGACTGATGCTTTGTTTTTTCCCCTTGAAGAACCGAGGTGAGTCAGTACTTCCAGCAACTGCTAGGAATTCAGGCCAGTTTTTATTAACTCTAACACGCAATGGCTTAACATTTATCTTCAGTAAGACTAATGTGATGGGGAGAATAGATGCACAGGCAACGTGATATTCTAATTACGCCGTGTTATTTGATGGTTCTGATTAAATCCCGTGATCCTAGCACTTCAGTTCCAACAGTGGCTGTCTGCTTGTGTGTGTGTGTGTGTGCACGTGCGTTACACACATCTATGAAAATGGGAAAGGCAGGAAAAATGCAGGCTGAGGAGCTAAAAACAAGCCTGTTTCTCAGTCAGGTACCTGCCAGCCTACTGCTGCAGGTGTTCATCTCCAAAACTGCAACCTGTCTGTCTCTAGGATTCCTTTTCTTTTTTAAGAAGAGAACTATAAATTACATTATTCACAACTTCTGAAGTGTACTTGCACCCTGGACGGGCAGAGGATCAGCCACATGGCTGCACACACCCAGGGGCTGCTGCAGGAGAAACACACCTGAGCGCACAGCCCCCGTGGTGTTACTAAAGTGAAAGTTTCTAGTACATTCTTGAAAGATCTCGGTTTGTGAAGTCCCTGCTGCAGGAAACCCATGGGTTGTGTCGGTGAAGCCTGCTTGTTCTGAAACACCCGAGGTTCAGTGAAAACTGGGGGTGTCTGTACCTGTGGCATGTGGCTGCCGGAGACACCGCTGTGCTTCCCAGAGCATCCACAGCCGGGCAGAGCTCTGCCTCCGCCAGCACCGGCTGCTGCTCAAAGGAAATGCACCGGTCGCAGGAATGGCTGAGGCCCCAAGCAGCGTCTGACCGAACCCGCGCTGCACACCCACACAGCTCCCAGGCTGTGCTCGATGCATTTTTAAGGCTTCCCTATGGTAACAGTTCTCTTGTAATCTTATGGCCCGGATCTGGTGGTTATTTAAGGCAGAAATGCAAGTTAACACTCAGACTGAGCTTGGTAAACAAGTGATGTGCAGTAGTAAAATGAGCAAATAGCATTATCGTTGGTGTAACGAGGCCCTCCCTTAGCAAGGGGTTACTCTGCACAGAGATTAACTCAATGAAGCACAAATGAATGAAAAAGTCTTAACACTTTGGTCTTCCTACACACTGACACACAGAGGATAACACAGCTTCAACAGCGCTGTCTTACCTTAATTTTTAGTTAAAGTGATAATAGTCCATCCCTTCCTTCAAGTTCAGCATGTTCAGGTTTGTCTCAAACGCTCCACCTGTCAAATCCTGTGAGGGGAGAGAAGAGAATTAGCTCAACCAGACCCGCCCGTGTCAGTTGTAACACGTTTGGGTAGTTTGGTACTTTGCACCACGGAAGAAAGTGCCTTTTGCAGAACTAAACATAAATAAATGGAGACTCCCCAATGTTACCACTCAAAAATTAAGCCTGTGTTGACAAGAGAATGTTCAAATCCTAGAATCATAGAATGGTTTGGGTTGGAAGGGACCTTAAAGCCCATCCAGTTCCAACCCCCCTGCCATGGGCAGGGACACCTTCCACTAGACCAGGCTGCTCCAAGCCTCATCCAGCCTGGCCTTGGACACTTCCAGCGATGGGGCATCCACAGCTTCTCTGGGCAACCTGTCCCAGTGCCTCCCCCCTCTTTCCAGGAAGAATTTCTTCCTGATATCCAATCTAAACCTCCCCACTTTCAATTTAAATCTGTTACCCCTTGTCCTGTCACTACAGGCCCTTGTAAAAAGTCCCCCCCCGCTTCCATGTAGCCCCTTCAGGCACTGGAAGGGGCTGTAAGGTCTCCCTGGAGCCTCCTCTTCGCGGGGGAGGGGCGTGGGACAAGGCATTCCCTGTGCCAGGCACAGCCCTGCCGCCAGCCACTGCCGAGCTTTGGGTGCTAACGCAGGCGTTTCCAGAGAACGACGGTAGAGCGAGCCCACGATGTTTGTAGCCTGAACAGTCACCAGCTTGTCTGATGAAAGACACTTTTCACCAAGCGACCGGCGTGTTCTGCACAGTTAATTTTCTGCTGAGCCGGAGTTACGTTATCTGAACAGGAACCTGGCAGGTTTGTGTCAGGAGCAATCTCGCAAGACAGTGATGTCATTAAGAAAACATGCCAACTTCAGCATTTCCGAGCACCTCTGCTTTGGTCTTCCTGGAGTCCTTAACTCTGCTGATCTTCAGGAATGTCCCCAAAAAACAAACGAAGGCTGGCAATGCCACAGGAGGC